GACCAGGTACCAGCTGCCAACAGAGCCCAGGTATGTGATGATATGGTCAGGCAGTGGCCTTTTGCCACAGCAGCAGAATTTCCTCCTTCAGTTGACCCTCAGAGGTCTGGCCATGATCTGTCCTGTCCCAAGAAAGCATTTTGTCTGCAGTCCCAGTGCTCCCAGTTGTGTCATGGTGTCACACTGTGTCCTGGACACGTCAGCTGAGCATGCAGAGACATGCTCCTGCCCAGGCTCGTGAGTATGCAGTGACTGAGGAATGTGTTGGGGATTTTGGTTTTCTCCTTTTTTGGGGGGTGTCTAAAAGCAGAGTACTGGTGTTACCTACCACGTATCATAGATTCATAGAATGGTTTGTGTTGGAAAGGGCCTTAAGATCATCCAGTTCCAACCCCCCTGCCATGGGCAGGGACACCTCACACTAAGCCATGTCACCCAAGGACCTGTCCAGCCTGGCCTTGAACACCGCCAGGGATGGAGCATTCACAACTTCCTTGGGCAACCTATTCCAGTCCCTCACCACCCTAACAGGAAAGAATTTCCTAATATCCAATCTAAACTTCCCCTGTTTAAGCTTTAACCCATTACCTCTTGTCTTGTCACTACAGTCCCTAATGAAGAGTCCCCCTTCTCCCCCCACCCCAGCATCCCTATAGCCCCCCTTCAGATACTGGAAGGCTGCTCTGAGGTCTCCACGCAGCCTTCTCCAGGCTGAACAGCCCCAACTTTCTCAGCCTGTCAGTGGTAACCATCTGCAGAGCTACCAGGCATGATCAGCCCCTGCAGATGATGAAGGGTGGGCGATACTTGGGGCTGGCAGCTATTTTAGCACCTTTCACTGAGTCACCAATATCATTCTTCATAAGCTATACCTGACATCAAGATTGGCTTTAAATAACTCACCACATTTCAGAGGACGCTGCATAATGGACAATTGGATCAGCTGCTCAGACAGATTGAAAACAGAAAATACTGACTCTGAAACTAATCAGAACTGGAATTTCCGTAAATGCACCAGGGAACTTACCAGCCCTAAGGCCTTTACCTCAAAATACCTGTGCCCAGCATAAAGACTGCTTTGCCAGGGCTGTTTGAGGTTGCTGCAGTCTTCGATTGTGACCAGCTAAGATAACTGTGGGGCAGGTAGTGTTTGGCCTTCGTCATTAGTACCAGTGAGCTGAACAACACTGATGCCAGCTCTGTGATCAGGCTGGTCCTCTGTGACTCTTCAACACAACTGGGGTGCCAGCCAGTGGTTTATGCCCCCATGTTTTTATTTATCTGATTTATCCCTACCCTATTTAAACTTCAGAATCGTGATAGAAGTTTGTGCTGGGGTACAAGTAGCTTTTCTTTTTCCCCAGAAAAGCTGGCAAGCACTGGACCCATAAAATGATTGGTGATGCCACACAATTTACATACCCTACTGCAGACAACCCCGTCCCTCCTGACAGGCAGCATTCAGCCCTCAGTTTTCCCACAGATTTCCATGCATTTTTAATAATATTATTAAAAAAGAAAACCTGAAACCCAGGCAAACCAACCCTTTCAATAGTTCAGCTCTGCATGCCCACTTGGGAATTGCGTTGGGGAGAAAGGATCCCTTAGCACTCACTGCAGCTCTCCTGACACAATACCATTTCAATTTATGGTAACTCTGGGAATATTTTTTATAGTACAACATACTTTTGTTCTTTTCAAGTAATAAGAGCACTTGTGTGGCTCAGTAGCTTTACTCCTCTGCTAGTGTCTGATCTTACCTGCCTAAAGCCTATTTCTTGCTTTTTTAGAACAAACTTGGGGTGTGATGGATTATGGAGTTGCCAATTCCTTCTGTGTCGTGTTTTAGGAGCAGTTGAGTGTATTTGTGTCTTCTGCCTAAGAAAAGTGTTACTATTTAGAACAGTTGTGGTCAATGGCTCAATGTCCAGCTGCAGACCAGTAACGAGTGGTGTCCCTCAGGGATCGGTGTTGGGACCAGTCTTGTTCAACATCTTCGTTGCTGACATGGACAGTGGGATTGAGTGCGCCCTCAGCAAGTTTGCCGATGACACCGAGCTGTGTGGTTCGGTTGATAGGCTGGAGGGAAGGAATGCCATCCAGAGGGACCTCGACACGCTTGTGAGGTGGGCTGATGCCAACCTCATGAAGTTTAACCCTGACAAGTGCAAGGTCCTACATCTGGGTCGGAGCAATCCCAGGCACAGCTACAGGTTGGGCAGAGAAGAGCTTCAGAGCAGCCCTGCGGAGAAGGACTTGGGGGTGTTGGTCAATGAGAAAATGAACATGAGCCGGCTTCAGTGTGCGCTTGCAGCCCAGAAAGCCAACCGTATCCTGGGCTGCATCAAAAGGAGCGTGACCAGCAGGTCCAGGGAGGTGATCCTGCCCCTTTACTCTGCTCTTGTGAGACCTCACCTGGAGTATTGTGTGCAGTTCTGGTGTCCTCAACGTAAAAAGGACATGGAACTGTTGGAACAAGTCCAGAGGAGGCCACGAGGATGATCAGGGGACTGGAGCACCTCCTGTATGAAGACAGGCTGAGGAAGTTGGGGCTGTTCAGCCTGGAGAAGAGAAGGCTGCATGGAGACCTCATAGCAGCCTTCCAGTATCTGAAGGGGGCCTATAGGGATGCTGGGGAGGGACTCTTCATTAGGCACTGTAGTGATAGGACAAGGGGTAATGGGTTAAAACTTAAACAGGGGAAGTTTAGATTGGATATAAGGAGGAAATTCTTTCCTGTTAGGGTGGTGAGGCACTGGAATGGGTTGCCCAGGGAAATTATGAATGCTCCATCCCTGGCAGTGTTCAAGCCCAGGTTGGGCGAGGCCTTGGGTGACATGGTTTAGTGTGAGGTGTCCCTGCCCATGGCAGGGGGGTTGGAACTTGATGATCTTAAGGTCCTTTCCAACCCTAACTATTCTATGATTCTATGATTTAGGCCAGATTGGATGGGACTTTGAACAGCCTGCTCTAGCGGAAGGTATCCCTGCCCATGGCAAGGGGTTGGAACTGGATGATCCTTAAGGTCCCTTCCAACCCAAACCATTCTGTGATTTCCTTGACTGGAAGGACAAAGTAAGTCTTTACCAAACCATCCAAATTAGGGTTTTGCTTGTGACATCTCCCTTCATAACTGATTTAGGGCATTTTGCTGCCCAGCTTTCTGGAGTGAGAGGTTTTGTTCCTTAGGTATGTTCCCATGCTTACTTGAGGCATTCTTCACAGACAGGGAGAGGCTCTGGTCACTTCTCTCATTCTGATGACAACACTGTGCAAGCGTTAGTTGTGTGCCAGCAGAGGCTGAGTGGATCTAGTTAGTATTGCTGACAGGGCCTACTCAAAGCAGTACAAACCCTTCTGTCCCTGCTTCCTTCCTGGAAGGATGAATAGTGAGAGTGCTGGGCTTGTACACTGACCATGTTGTGACTGAAGCTGGACAGAACTGTGAAAAATCTCTGCATCAACTCTCACTTTTCATACAAAACATTTATTTTTAATAAGTTGTATATAAAGGTCTACACAGGACGGTTACCATTTCTCTAGTAAAAAAAACCCAACAAAACAAACCTAAATGATAAATCCAACTCTGTCATTCAATAGGGAAAAGGGTTGCTCATCCTCACCAATCCACATCTAACAGACTTCAGTGTGCATTTTGGTAAGAACACTTGAGACAAATTCAAGAAGTAAAGTTCACTGAAGTTTCTACATGTACAGTTAAAGGTTCTAGATGTACATATTTACATCATTATCTAACACACACATGTACTGTATACCACCACAGCTGCAGAAACACATTAGGTCTTGGAACACATCTCATCCTCTACTCAGTTCCTGTGCTGACATGGCTATTTGGGCTGCATTACAGAAGGAGCAGTTTTTACAGAAGACTCTTTTAATTGGTTTGGTCTATAGTAATGCCCCAGCACAGTCTCAGAAAAGTGAGAGTTCGATTGGTTATTTGCTCCCTGAGGAGGAGAAAGCTGAGGATAGTAAATACTGTATAAAACACTTCCCCTTACCTCATCGTCCGCTCTAAGGACGGGTAAGGAACCTGTTCTAGTCAGAGGGTGAAAGAGCTTTTGGACTGAAAGCTGCCCTTTGGAAATTTTACATTTGGATAATGATTGTCTGAAGAAGTAATTTTAAATGACCTGAGCAAGTTCTGCTGTCAGATTAGACAAGGCCAATGCAAGGTCCTGCACCTGGGTCACAGCACAAACAGCAAGCACAAACACAGGCTGGGCAGAGCCTGGATTGAGAGCAGAAGGACTTGGGGGTGTTGGTTAATGAAAAGCTCAACATGAGCTGGCAGTGTGCGCTTGAGCCCAGAAACCACCTGTGTGTTGGGCTGCATCAAAAGGAACGTGAACAACAGGTTGAGGGAGGGGACTCTGCCCCTCTGCAGCACTCTGGCGAGACCCCTCCTGCAGTCCTGATCCAGTTCTAGGGCAACAGCACAAGAGGGATGTGGAGCTGCTGGAGTGAGCCCAGAGGAAGCCATGGAGATGCTGCAAGGGCTGGAGCAGCTCTGCTCTGGAGCCAGGCTGAGAGAGCTGGCCTGGGTCAGCCTGGAGGAGGCCCTGGGGAGACCTTAGAGCACCTTCCAGTGCCTAAAGTAGCCACAAGGAACCTGGAGAGGGGCTTTGGACAAGGGCATGTGGTGACAAGACAAGGGGGAATGGCTTTAAACTGACAGAGGGGAGACTGACATTAGGTATTAGGAAAATATTCTTCACTGTGAGGGTGCTGAGGTGCTGGCATAGGTTGCCTAGAGAAGCTGTGGCTGCCCCATCCCTGGCACTGTTCAAGGCCATGCTGGACAGGGCCTGGAGCAACCTGCTTTAGTGGAAGGTGTCCCTGCCTATGGCAGGTGAGTTGGAACTGGATGATCTTTAAGATCCCTTCCAACCCAATCCATTCTATGGCTTTTATGATCTACATTAGCTCTTCTTACCCCACCGTGTTTCTGAAGAAAGAATTCCATTCTTCAACAAGTGTAAAGTTCAATTTCTCAACTTCTTAAAGCAAAAGCAGATGGCTCAGTGTATAAATATATCCAGCATCTGGATTCTCAGTCACAAAAATAACATCTTTTACAAAACAGAAAATGGATCAACTATGAAGCAATTCTCCACGGACTTAAGATCCAACATCTTCAACAGCTTCATCTTCATCCTCTTCCTCCTCATCCTCTTCATCCTCTTCACCCACATCTCCATCTTGCTTCTCTTTTTCAAGCATTTTTAAATATTTGCTAGCTAGGATCTTCTTTGGCAGGATATCTGGAAGGTAGAATTGTTTCTTTTATAGTCAGTTTGAATACTTATATCGCCTCATTAATACTCTTGCATCCTTACTACCAAAGAAATGAAGTCAAAACTAGGCTTTGTTAAACCCATTATTATTTAAGTGAATAACTACGAGTTAGTCTGACCTATACAGCTGTAAGAATAAGAGGGAATCACCCACTTGCAGTACAAGTAACCAAGAGGACGAAACATATTTTACGACGGATTACTGACAACTGTCTTTGCTATCTGCTCATGCATGTTATTTATTTCATGTAAAACAGAGTGCTCAGCTACTCAACTGCTTTAGATTCAACAAGCCAGCTACCCCATTTCTGTCCTGCAGAAGCAGTTTTCTGTGTTAAGGTAAAATACTTGTTCAGGGCAATAACAACAGACCTGAGAACAAAGCAGGACTGTGTGCTCTGGAAGTACGTCCATGGGGAACCCAGAGAAAGACTGGGCTAGAACTATCTTATTCTCCACCTATATCCTTGAGGTCTCAAGTATTACAACAAAAATCCAGTATCAGTAAAAAGTGTGTACACACACATTTGGGTACACACACACACACTTATATATATATATATAAAGAAAGAGGAACCATACGATGACTCAGTTTGAAAAACAAGATTTACAGATTTAAATGTGGGATTTTGGGGCCACATAATTTCTCACATAAAGATGTGCTGTGATCTTGTTTTGTAGGCTGAAAGCTTTCAGATGGAGGTGCTATAATTCAAGAAATGCTCAAGGCAATATGCTACGATCTCCTTAGCCTTGCGTAATTTTGAAGCGCCAGGAAAATTCCCATTCACAAAGAGATTTAAATCAGGTATCAGGAAGAAATTCTTCCCTGTGCGAGTGGTGAGATACTGCCCAGAGAAGCTGTGGCTGCCCCATCCCTGGCAGTGTTCAAGGCTAGGTTGGACACAGGGGCTTGGAGCAACCTGCTCTAGTGGAAGGTGTCCCTGCCCGTGGAAGGTGTCCCTGCCCATGGCAGGGGGTGGGAGCTGGATGAGCCTTAAGGTCCCTTCAACCCAAACCATTCTGTGGTTCTATGAAATGTGTTCAGCGATGTAGTTTTTGGGTTCCAGTTCAGTGGTACAAAGATTAATGACCAGTAGGAGAATAATGCAAAACCAGCAAGATTTCATTTTGAGTATTACATACTGGCTTTACCATCATGCTGTAGATACCTGCAAGGAACTGAAAGGTCTCGCACTCTTCTGCAGTATGAGACAGGTCACTGTAAGTTAAAGCATTCTTCTCCTTGCCTTTGCCATGTTTGTAGGAGTATGCAGCCAAATACTGAACAAAAAGCTCCTAGAAAATTAAAACAAAAGCAAATTGTCAAACTAGGAATGCACATATATAGTTGGCAGCAGTTTTCCTCAATCCTTATTTAAAAGCACAAGCACCATATTTAACTGTACATATACTGGACGCTGTGCAGACTCATTTCAGAGAAGCTTAAGGTGAGGTTATGGTTGCACCTCTTTGGAGCACAGACAGTAGGCTTGGCTTCTCAGACACAAGCTCAAACAAACACCTTCCACAGTGCTGCAAATGCCACTCGGGATCAGAGAGCAGCAGCATCATTTCCACACGGGCTAATTTATATTGATCGCCAGCGGTGGAAATAAGAACGTCCCGATCGCTCCAGACTCGGAGCTCAGCTGGATGGCGAAAGCCGCTTTCGCACGGCGGGAGCCCGAAGCGTGATGCTCCATGGCCGAGTGACAGACACAGGCAGGAGGGAAGAGGCGCTCCTTGGGGACGAGGCGGGCGCTGACACAGCGCGGCCGCACCGCCCGGAGGCAGCGGCACCTCAGGGAGGCACAGGCCCAGCACGGCGGGGAAGGAGCAGGGTCGGAGCAGAAAGAAGGGAAGAGGGAACCGGTACCGTGGCTTTGGCGGTGAGGAACAGCGCGTCCTGGTTGATGCTGGACACCTCCGGCGAGCTCTTCATGATCACACGGATACGCGACAGGGGCAGCGACACCAGCCGGTTCTCGCCGCCGCTCAACCTCGCCGCCATCTTTCCCCCCCGACCGGCTCCTTCCCCCCGCCGCCCGGCGAGCGCAGTGCGGCCGCCGCGGCGCGCTGGGAGCTGTAGTCTCCGGCCGCCATGGGGGGCCCGCGATGCCGGCGGCGGGACTACAACTCCCGCCGGGCCGCGCGGCCGCCGCCCGAGCGCCGAGCGGAGCGAGAACTACAAGTCCCATCCCCGCCCGCTGCCGCCTTCCCCCGGCGGCGGGGCCCGCGGTCCAGGTGTTCCGGCGGTCGGTACCCGCTCCCCCCCGGGGGAAGGCGGGTGTCCAGAGGGGAGAGGCGGAACGGGCCGCGGGGCGTCCCTTCCTCAGCCCCTCGACATGTGCCTTAGCCCCCAGCTAGAGCCCGAGTTTTGGAAACTCATTTTTAATGGCAAATGGGCACATCCTCTATGTACATATTCCAATTACAGGCCAGTGGCTACGAAATCGTCAACTCAAACTGTAATTACAGGCTGCTAAATACCTCTTTTGCTGCTGTAGTACGCTAAAAGGGAATGCTGCCTGGTACTCCTGACACTTGTCTGTGGTATGCTGAGGTGTGGAGGGCACATGGAAACTATTAAGTGATTATGGGGTTTTGTCTTTATTATTAACACATTCCTGTGTGTCTACTGTGCAGGTACCTGGTTACATGGGTACATGTCAGCCTCAGCCCACTGAAGGCAATGGGTGTTTTGCTACTGATAGTGTTGGGTCCAGAAGTTCATCTGTGCCCATTTGGATAGGTGCTACTGTACTTCTACTGAGAGGGAGTCAGCTGTTCCAGAAATGATGAGGCATAGTTTGCATTTAATTAATGGCTTGAATAAATAGTTTCTAATATGCTTTACAAACAATATGCCTGATGATTAGTGTTGGTAAGAAGTCTGCTAAGGTAAGTAATTAACATGAGAGAGAAGAATCAGAGAGCCACAGACTGGTTTGGGCTGGAAGGGAACTTAAAGCTCATCCAGCTCCAGCCCCTGTCACTGGCAGGGGCACCTTCCACTAGAGCAGCTTGCTCCAAGCCCCTGTGTCCAACCTGGCCTTGAACACTGCCAGGGATGTTGCAGCCACAGCTTCTCTGGGCACCCTGTGCCAGCGCCTCAGAACCCTCCCCTCACAGGGAAGGTTCTTCAGAACAAAGGCTTTTCCATAGTACACAATGCTAGTTCACATAGAATTTAGGGAGGAAAGGGATGTACCCATAAAGATCATATTAAATAGAAAATACAGGGACTTTGTTAACTATTACTAGCTTATATAGAATTTGTCCAGTAGATAAGGACAAGGCTTTCCTACAGATGATACTGATTTATTAATAAAAGACCCTTAAGCAGTTGTAAGCACCTTAGTGCAAGGATAGTACAATGATGTGTTCACTTGCATCAGTTCTAACATTACTGTATTTGGAGACCTCTGTTACACTTAGCTATTACAGGTAACCTGCATCTCTTAGACTGCATAATTCCCTTGAGGTTACAACTTTTGTGAGGCCGTTCTGTGTAAGTTATAGCTGAAGTGAAGCACTGTATCCTATGATACTGTATAGATACCTTAGGTCCTTCGCTTCCTTCTCTGATCCTTATCATCTTGCGACATCTTGTGGACACAGTTGACATTACTATGACAGTGAAGTTCTTGCTTCCATGATTTCAACGTACATATAAACCCATCAAACTATCAAGATTTCTGAGGTTGTCGAGCTATTTGGATGCCAACTTAGGATCCCTATAGATCCTATGGGATCAAGGGACCTGCCTGCAGGCATTTTACTCATCTGCGGACAATGCAGTTTAAGGTGGTCTGGACAAACCAGGACTCTCTCCTCTTCTAGGTCCTATCTCATCATCAGGTATTTCCTCTTTTCCTGTGCAGTGCTCCCTGAAAGGCCACACTGGGACAAGTCTGTGTTCTTCAGCACTGTGATGGGTGGATGATGCCTTCCACCTGACAGATAACAGGAACACAAGCACAGCAAACTTAAAGGCATCTTTCCATGCTGCTAACACAGCTTTAGTCTGTGGGAGACAGAATCACGATGTAGCTGTGGAGCATAAGGCGGGTGTGCTCACACGCTGAGAATACCATGATATTGCAATGTCACTGATGTTTAATCATTTAACTTTTTTAGTATATTTTGAAACAGCACAATTAATGTTGTATCAGTAATGGAATGGAACTTGTTCCTAATTAAAACAAACAAACCCATAGAGCAGTTCATAGTAAATTATTTCTCTTGAATCAGAACCTAACTGGGTTTGTTATTAAGAATTCTTTGTTAAGCCTGACTGGAAACAGGTAAAATTAATCTCTGCTCCGGAGAGTTCAGAATAACTGTTTGCCTAAAAACTAATACACCCTATTCAGTATGGACTGTTTGTACTAATTACAAACTGCACAGCAGCATCATATCTCAGTCTTTCCTTTTCTCCTCTTACTTGACTCACCAGACTGCGCTTGAGCTCTTTTTGCTGTGCTTTGTAGACCTGAATAAGTGCAGGTTATTTTTGAGCTCTCTAAATAAATTATATTTAATAAAAGAGTGGCCAGAGATGCTATTCTTGTTCTTTAGTGAAGAATTGTTTCTTGTTGCTGACATTCTATTACAGAAAATGCATAAGGCAATTGTAGTTCCACTGAAGATCTTGCATTTATTATAGAGAAAATATTACCAGAATATGAGGCAAAAAAAATCCTGAAGAATTTTCTTTACATAAAACCAGAGCATAGCTAAAAAGATTAGCCACTATGATGCTGAGTGATGTTTTAAAACAAATTCATACACATTTAATAAGACTAATTAGAGAGTAATTAATGATCTGTAATCACAAAAAAAAAAATTCAGAATTATTATATGAAGAACAGTGGATAAGTGCTGGACTAGGGAAAAATCTGCTAATGTCAGCAGACAAGGGAAAGAGCTGAAGTTGGTCTGGCAAAGTATAAATGCAGTATGTGCATAAGTTGTTGGCACAGACAATAATAAATGTAAGGTTATATTTAAAGAAAGAGGTGTCTAGCACAAGATGTATACTGCAACAAAAGAAATTCACTGCTGCAGCAGCATTCTTTAGAATTCAGATTTGCAGTAGAGCCATATAAAAGCAGCATTTATAAACCAGACAAGTTCATGATGAAGAAGAAGTGTTTCTTGTGCAGTGCAAAGAAAAGCTGTTCTGTGGGGATCTGGTAAAGTGTTACTTGGTGGTGATAAGAAGGTTGCATCATATTCAAAATATAAGATAATCAGTCATAGAGTAAGAGGTTGGAAGATACCAAAAGGATCTGAGCAGTTGGTAAACTATATGTTACTGCACAAATGCAAATAGAAAATGACTGAACTGACAACAGTCACTTCAATGTATCTAAACATCTGGAGGTCTCGGGTAAGGATCACAGTGTAGCAGTTCCTCCATAACCATAGCTGGAGCAATGAAGATTATCAAAAGCAAAAGTAAATTAATCAAGCTTTTAGGCAGACAATACCACGTGTAATCTTCCATTTCTGTTTTTGATAGATGATACACATTTAGGCAACTTCTCTTTGGAGTTGTTCTACCATGTGGAACTATTCAGAACATTAAATACTTCCATCCCAGAGATCTTAGGAGACTGAGTAGCTTAATGGCAATAAGTGAGCTCTTAAACACAGCATTTGCAGAGCCACAGTTTGGGCAGAGAAGAGATTCAGAGCAGCCCTGCGGAGAAGGACTTGGGGGTGTTGGTCAATGAGAAAATGAACATGAGCCGGCTTCAGTGTGCGCTCGCAGCCCAAAAAGCCGACCGTATCCTGGGCCGCATCAAAAGGAGCATGACCAGCAGGTGGAAGGAGGTGATCCTGCCCCTCTACTCTGCTCTTGGGAGACCTCACCTGGAGTACTGTGTGCAGTTCTGGTGTCCTCAACATAAAAAGGACATGGAACTGTTGGAACAAGTCCAGAGGAGGCCACGAGGATGATAAGGGGCTGGAACACCTCCTGTATGAAGACAGGCTGAGAAAGTTGTGGCTGTTCAGCCTGGAGAAGAGAAGGCTGCGTGGAGACCTCATAGCAGCCTTCCAGTATCTGAAGGGGGCCTATAGGGATGCTGGGGAGGGACTCTTCATTAGGGACTGTCGTGACAGGACAAGGGGTAATGGGTTAAAACTTAAACAGGGGAAGTTTAGACTGGATATAAGGAGGAAATTCTCTCCTGTGAGGATGGTGAGGCACTGGAAGGGGTTGCCCAGGGAAGTTGTGAATGCTCCATCCCTGTCAGTGTTCAAGGCCAGGTTGGACAGAGCCTTGGGTGACATGGTTTAGTGTGAGGTGTCCCTGCCCATGGCAGGGGGATGGAACTTGATGATCTGAAGGTCCTTTCCAACCCAAACCATTTTGTGATTCTGTGAGTCTATGCATCACTGAGGCAATCAAGTCGGGTGCCAGTATGATCCACACCTAGAGGTTCTCAAGGCCAGCAACCTGCTCTAGTGGAAGATGCCCCTGCCCCTGGCAGAGGGTTGGACCTAGATGAGCTTTAAGGTCCCCTCAACCCAAACCATTCTGATTTGGGGAAACTGGAGATTGCCCTCACCCATGTGCAGGACCTGGCACTTGGCCTCATCAAACTTCACGCCATTCCCACATCCTCCACTAGAAAAGCTCCCTAACTCTGACACAAAGCTCATGCTTCCCAGTCTTCAGATTTTTTGCCCTTTAAGCTACAAGACACCAAAGGCTGATTTCAGGATGTGGAAGTGCTGGGAAGGCTCACTGATGGCCGCTACTGAAGTTTTCAGTTACACAATGGGGACAGTGGCGTCTGGGATTCACCTGCCACTCATGCTCATTGCCTTCAATGAACTCCTCTTATTCTTCGAGGAGTAGCTCGTGTTTGCAGACAGAAGGTGAAGTAGCGATGGGACAGGCACCACGGGCAGCGGACTGAGAGCGACCGGATCTCCCGGCTCCCCACACGCGGACTCACGGGCACCGCTTGCTCACGGTACCGCTCCCCACACGCGGACCCACGGGCACCGCTTCCTCACGGCACCGCTCCCCACACGCGGACCCAC